TCCAGATTCACGACATTCGTCACTGCTATGTCCACACCAGAAGAATGTGTAACTGCCTCCTGTTTCTGTGAGCTGACCTTCATTGGCTAGGCGAGTTTCACACAGGGCTGCTATATCGATGTTAAATCTTGCGAGCTCTCTCAGGAAATACCCATGTATTTGCTACATACCCAAAATTGTTCAAAAAACTGAATTCCAAAACTTACTGTCTGACTATGTAATAGGACTCAGACTTTGATTTTGTTCTGGCCATTGCAGTTCTTGAAATGCATGGCATTAAAGGGAAGACATTGATTCACATTTGGAATGTGCTATTAAAATGCTATTTTATTTCAAGAGTATTACAAAGAAGATTAAAAAGCAAAATAGTTGTCTTAGAAAAGGAGTTGAGGAAACGATTGGGGAAGATTTCTGGAGGTTATTAATATTTGATAGACAAAGCAGATCTTAAATGTTTTTTGTAATGTATATTAGATTGTGTATGAAGTTAAACCTTGTTCTAAGTCCAATCAGCTGCCGAAGTGAATAGACTGCATGACTATAAGAATCATAGGATAATAGAAGACTTGGGAAGGGCCATAAAGGCCATCGAGTCCAACCCCCTGCTGTTGCAGGACACGTTACACCATCCCACTCAGATGGTGGTCCAGTTTCTTTTTCAATGTCTCTAATGTGGGAGAGCCCAGCACCTCTATAGGTAGCTGGTTCCATTGTTGTACTGTTCTGACAGTGAGGAAGCTTTTCCTGATGTCCAGCCTGAATCTGGGTTGCCACAACTTGAATTATTCCATGTCCTACATTCTGGCATTAGCAAGAAGAGATCTTCTGGGGCTACTAAGTTCTTCTTGAATTTCTGTACAGATATGTCTCTCTCACATATAGTGAAACTGCACCTCCCTTTTTGCCCATTCTATTTTTCTTGAACAGGCTGTATCCATCAAGTGTAGAGTTCCAGTCATGTGAGTCATCCCACCAAGTTTCTGTTGTTCCTATAAGATCATAATTGCCCTTGTGTACTATGAGCTCAAGTTTGTGTTGCTTGTTTCTCATACTCAGCATTGGCGTAGAGACATCCAAGTTCATTGTTACTGTGCCCTGGTTTTCTTTCTACATTTTTTGGGAGATTGGTGCTCGGCCCTGCCTGAGGTTTTTTCTCTGTTGAAATATCTAAGTCTTTGCCAGGTGATGGTATGCCATGCTTCACATCTCCTTCCCCTATAGCAGGGGTCTCAAACTCGCAGCCCGCGGGCCAATTGCCGGGACAGGCGGGGCACGGGGGAGGGGACCTGCAGCCTTCAAAGCGCCGGTGGCGCCCGGGCCGGCCACAGGATGAGCGGCCCACCACCACCGCGGTGGTGGAATACTTGATACGGCCCAGCCTCACCCAGACTCTACTTCCAGCGGCCCCCAGGTAAATTGAGTTTGAGACCCCTGCCCTATAGGTTTTAGTTTAAAGCTCTTCTGAAGTTTTTCATGTGGTGGCCAAACACCTGCTTCCCGTTCTTTGTGAGGTGCGGCCCATCATTTGGCAGTAGTCCATGTTCCAGAAAACTTAGCTTGTGATCCCAGAATACAAATCTCACTTTACAGCACCACCATCGTAGCCAGTCATTCACTTTCTCTAACAGTTCCTCTTCCACATACTGGTGGGATAGAGAAGACTATCTAGGCCCCAGTGCTTTTTATTTTCCTCCCTAGAGCTTCAAAGTCTGATGTTATATCAGCAAAACTTTTTTTTTGAACAAATTTTATTATTTTTTCTATAAATCCAAAACTGAAAACAACAATTATTCAGGACATCAGATATACTGGGTCGACATCATGGTCTTTTTTTTTTTTTTTTTACATTTAAGAACTATATTTAATTCTACGCATAGTCCCATTTCTCTAACCAATGATAACAAATATTCCAAGTTGATAGAAGTACGTATCTTCCTTCTCCTTCAAAGACAAGGTCAACCTTGTCAACCTATATGTAAGGTTGACCTATATGTAAAGTCAACTATATAGTTTGCTTATCAAAATTATCAGGAACAATACCTAATAGCAAGACTTCAGGTTTAAATGTTAACAGTTTATGCAGCATTTCATCAAGCCACTTGTGTATTTTAACCCATTATTTTTTTGCCTTAACACATGTCCACCACAAATGATAGAAGGTACCAGGTTTGTGTTTACATTTCCAACATCCATTTGACATATTTGGAAGCATTTTTGCTAGTCTATTTGGTGATAGATACCATCTGTAAAACATTTTATAAAGGTTTTCTTTATATGAAGATGCTAGAGTTAACTTAATATTTCTTTCCCATAGCTTTTGCCATTTCTGTAACTCAATATTATATCCAAACTTTTGTGTCCATGTTAGTCTCTTTAACTTGTTCATCTACCATTTTCATATCTAAAAGAAAGTTATACAACCTTTTAATCATTTTTTCATGATTTTAAAATCATTTGATCAAATGCTATTAATTCCTTATAAGAACCATACATTCTATAATCTTTAGTACATCTCGATTTTATCTGAATCTTATGCCACCAAGAGAGATCAATGGCATGTTCCTGTAATTCTTGATTCGGCTTCAATTTTCCATCATTATATCAGCAAAACTTCTTATGGCAGTGTCGTTAGTTCCCACATACACTAAACACTGATGTCTTTCATATCTGCTTTTAAAGTCAGCAAACAGTTTTATGTAAATAGAAAGACCATGGTGTAGATTAGAGCCCTCTCAATTATGGCACCAACCATGTAGATTTGTCCTTCCACTGAGAACAGGCAGGTTCCTAAGGCAGTGTATTTCCACTGATAACTGAAGACACATGTGCTTGCCAGGTATTTCCTGGACCATTAGTCTTTTCTTCTTTACTTCTCTTCTTTGTGGTTACTTTAATGAATTTCACTGTTTTTGCCATTGTTTATTGATGTAATGATTAAGTTTATTACATTTGATCATTACCTTTTGTACACCATTTAAAAATGCAAAGCAATATAGAACATCTTTGAAATAAATAAATGCAGGGATCATAACTGTAGGGCATATTTTTAATTAGATTTTGATCTCACCTTTTTTCTTACAAATAACTCAGGAGCTTACATAGTTCTCCTTCTCCTGTTCTCAATCTTATCCCCACAGCAACAATCCTATGAGGTAGGTTGGACTGAGTTTCTGTGAATGGCCCCAAGTCACCCAGCTGGCTGCATATGTGGGGAAAGATGTAATTTGAATTAAATATTCATATAGTTTTTTCAGGGGTGAACTCATGAGTAGCCGTCAGCATAAGCTTGCTCAGTGGATTATCCACTGAAATTTCAAATACATTTTGCTCTAGTTCCTTTTCTCAGCAAGTAGTCATTTAACCCTCTCTTGTTCTAAATTCCTAACTGCATGGATCTCAGGCCAGCCCCACCCCCAAGACATATGGACATTATGTTTTATGCTAATGCTTTTAAAATATCACTACAATTTATGCTACATGTGGCCCAAGCCTTTGCTTTTGAGATTTATAACTGTGCTAAGATTTAAGGACTTATTTCAGCGTGGAAATGGCTGGCAAGATTGACTCATCAGCAGTTTCTTACTTAATTACTCTTTGATCCTTCAGTCACAGACATATTTGCACTTTCAGTTTAGCACCTCCTGGCAACACATAGGAAATCCAGCTAAAGTTGTAGCACAGACCAAGAGTATTGTCTCATACCTCATGGCATGGTTGGGGGCAATGCTGAAGTCCAAAGCTTACTGCCACTGATGCTGGCATTCCCTCTGCCCTTGATTTTTAAGGATCTAGAGCTTGGCACTGAGGGGGCCAGGCAGCTACAGCTGTCACTGTCTCCAATGCCTCCAATACCTCTCTACTCCCAGTGCATTTCTGATATGCTGTATCATATCCAGAGAATGCGGGGAAATGAAAATGAGGGTAGCTACAGCTTAGTACTTTTCTTTCCACCAAGGCATTGAGAAAGTACAGGGTGCTGGGGATGGTACCTTCCAGAACTGCTGCCACCTGATCCTACCATGTGGCTGACATCTGATAAGCTGGGGGGGGGGGGGATCACTTGTGTGGTGCTTTGGAAGAACCACTCAGGACTTGTCCCTACCTACACATATAAAATGCTACATTTTTGCCTTTGTTGCTCAGGAAGTGAGAAGTAGTGATGGAAGAGGAGTTAAGAAACTATATGGCATTTCATGCATCACATTTTATGTGTAAACTGTGTACAATCTTACCATGCCCGTGTTGCACCAGTCTGGTTCAGAGATTCCTAGTGTGCTTATCACAGTGCATAACAAAGTCAAGTTAACTGAGTTAAGTTAGGTGCCATATTTGTGAAATTTGAGATACTTTTTATTACACACCCAATATTACTTTAAAGTCAGGACTCAGTAGTTCCTCATATTTTGTAAACCATAGACCATGTGTATGATAAGGGCCCAAATTTATTAGTGTAGCTTAATTGATCATTTTAACACAGGTATTGATTGTAAATCTTTGCTCCCCTATCTTTGTTCCCCTCTGGCTGAGTTCGTAAGTGGCACTGTAGTATATTCTCATTTATGGCTGAGGCAGGTGAATTATGATGAAACTTTTTACATTTTTAAAAATGTTTGATCATTAAAAATAATTTTTAAGTATATAAACTGGATCTGGGATAGCTGGTTGGTTTTGTGGCTTGAAATGACATGTCTTTGCTTTTGTATCAGTTTAGTCTAAACAGTTTACAAATAGAACATGAGGACAATGGTATCTTGTTTTGTTGGTGCTATACTGGGATTTATGCAAACATCTATCTTTCAAAAAGCATTATGTTCCTATCAGATTAAGCATAGATGTGATTCACAAGAGTGTTCTGAAAGATCATCCTGGTCAAATAGGTTTTGCATCATTACAAAAATCTGCAAAATTTTATGAGGTATTAGTGGAATAAACAAACACACCACAAGTAATGTTGCCTCAAAGACCTCTTGCCAATTTCATTCATACACATGAGGCAAAAATGACATCTCAATTCTGCACTGGTTTTATTTCTGGCACTAAATTAAATTAGTCTTTTACAGTATATAATATACAGACACAGGTTTGTATATGGCTAACAAACAGTACATGTTAAAAGGTTAGCAATATTACATAGTACCCTTAAAAATCTTAGTACTAAAGCATCATTACTTTTGACTGTGTCCAGTGCATATTATTATTAAACCAAATATATGTGTGAAGGTGCATCTTAAGACTCCTTCACAACATGCAGCATAAATGTGAAAAACCAAGGTTATTCTAAATTTATGTTAATCTTCAACAAAAACTTTTCAAATTACCTATGAAAGTACATTATAAAAGGAAAACAAAAAGAAAATGTCATTTACACAATCTCAGGGCTTGATCAATGAGAACTGGTCCATTCCTAGTATGTGAGATGCACATAAGCCCAGTGGAAGCGACTCGAATTATGACTTTCTAGCAGCAGTTTTGCAAACAAATTGCAACCAGCAGACCCTAGGAAGCGGCAAAAAAAGCACTTTCAGTTGCACTTTTAACTTGGGGCATGATTGACTGGGAAATGCTCTTGCATAAGCTCCACTGCAATAAATAAATAAAAATGTGGGGGAGGTTTTGCAGCAACCTGCTGAACTCCTAGGAAGTGTTGGTAGTTGACATACTTAGGGCACAATCTACCAAGTACATCACCTGCAAACAAACCCCATTGAAAAGGAGTAGCAGAATGCAATAGTGTTCTTAGACATTAGAATTTTGTGCTTTATACCCCCTTTAGCCTTTCATATACATCCTCCCTCAGTCTCTCCTTCTGGAACTCTAGCAATTACTTGCTTAGCTGGAATGTTGAAGATAATAAAATTTGCTAGACTATAAAAAGCGCTGACTTCAACATATGGCAATTTAGGCCATTAGGTGTCCTTTTTTCCCTTGCTATTAATTTTTATGCATCTATATAGCCTGCACTTTGGGGTTTTAACTGTATTTGCATTTAGAACGAAAAAGTAAGAGTCAACTAAGCAGTTTGGAACAACTATGTATTTTAAACTGTTTATGAAGAAGAAAAGAATGTTGTGTTTCAGATCTACAGTAAAAAGTGCTTGATTTTTTCCCATAAACACATTGAAGTATTAATGCAGACAATAAAGTGTTCATAAGCATATTAACCTGCCAGTAAGGATAGTTTTATTGGCACGGTTTAAGTATTTGGAGGTAGGCAACCCCCAAATCCTTGGCACAGAAGCTGTAGAGCAACCTGTGAACCAATTAAAAAGTAAAGCAGCACGCACAGACAAGACAACTTAGATTGGCCTGTAAACACAAGAATAAATGTATATACCACTTGGGGTTTGTTATGGGTGTTCATTCCAACCAATAAGGATGAGTGTGAAATTACATTAGAAATGATAACCAGAGCCATCTAGTGTTCAGACCAGCAGAGGAACCTGAAATAAAACATAATGTATCATTAGAATTGTCTTCAGCCTCAGAAATGCAGACATTAAGTCAACCCATCTCTGTAATTTAAAAAAAAAAATCCTTTTTATAGGTATAAATTAACAAAAAGATGTTTAGAATTTTGCATCCAGTATATGCTTCTATTTGAAACAAGGTTTAACATGGCTTCAGCTTTAGAGACATACAAATTTGCACACACTTGATTGTATTTCTCAATTCCCTGGCTAAAATATTGACTACAAATGTAACAAACGTGATTAATTAAGGGCATTGAATAATGGAAAGCCCAAGGCCTCTTCCCCAACTCAATTAAAAATTCACTCCCTTCTGAGTAGCCATGTTCTACCACAACTATTGCCTGTTCCTGCTTCTTACACTTCCTCCATCTGGGACTTAAAAGTTCAGTTTTAATTACTGAAATAAATAAATAAATGGATTTATTTATTTCATGGACGAAGATCAACCTTCAACTGACCTTTTTCCTGCTATATTTGTTAAATTCTTCAAGAAAAGATTTTGTGGACACCCTGTTTGACCTTAAAAGCTGAGATAAAATGTAGAAAAAATTCCATGTCAATCAGGAAAGCTACCTTGTTACTGAAAGTATAATCTCTCAGTGGCCTTTGACATCTGTTTTTTACAGTGTTTTTATAGCAATATGCAAGGCTCCCAAAACTACTGAATTCTTCCTCAGTGAATAATTATTTTCTTTGGTTTGTCTACTTTATGACTTTGTGAGTTACTTTTTCTTTTAAATGGCAAGCAGATAAGGTCACATAACATTTACCTACTTGTGAGGTGGGAAAATTCCATCTGTATTTGCGAACACACAAAAGATCACATTAAGAACTACTCTTAATCCCTTGGGAAATTTTGAAGAGCTTCATTTGTATCGGAAAAATCAAGTATTTTAAAGGATTTCACTAACATAATTCTGAAGGAACTTTATTCAAGCTTTTGCATTGCTTTCTTGTATATTGCGGTACAAATCCAGGTAAGATGCTTGTCACATTCACCCAGGCCAATGGATTTGAAGCAGTCTTGTATGGTCAGTCCTCAGAGACAGCACATCTTAAATCTGTTTCTCCAGGACCTTGGGCAGACGTTTGGAGTCAAGTCTGAAGCCTCCCTATATGCAAAGCCCACACTCTACCAGATTCTAATAGTTATTGTATACCAGAGGCTAATCTATTTGAGACTTGAATGACCCTTGTGTCGATGAGAAAGAGGGCAGGTTTAATACTCCTCTCATAAGGGGCTTTTCTACAGGAAGCATTTATTGTGCACTCATGTTCCCTTATTCATCAAAGTATGTGGGTTCTTTACATAGCATTGTTAACCTCCCATCATTTCTCCCATGTTTTCTAGCCTTTTCCAAAGGGTGCCTGCTCGCCCTCTCTCTCTCTTTCTCTCTCTGTGTATGTGTGTGTTAGAGTAAGGATAACAAAGTATTTTCCTGGATGACAATAGTACTCACTATGGCACCGTATGAAGTATAAATTCTGTTCCATACCATAGTGCCACCTTGTGTTGTGCAGTGAAACATATAGCAATATACAGAAAGGCAGAGAGAAAAACACCTAGGAAAAGAACCATACATAGAAGGATGTACTTCCTCCTGAAAAGAAAACAGAGCTTGATATAGAGAAGCCCATAAAAATACTCCATGCAAGAGCAGAAATTTGTACTGCATTTTCTGCAATCAACCTAATTGTTTGAAACAGCTTGAGCCCAGCAGCTGAAGGAGAGATAATGCACCAGGCTGGGCTCCACGTTAAACCCAGTGCAGTATTTCAATCCTAGAAGAAACGTCTTGGTCTTTCTTTCTTTCTTTCTTTCTTTCTTTCTTTCTTTCTTTCTTTCTTTCTTTAAAACATTTCTATGCCGCCCCCATCGCAACAAAGCCTCAGGGTGGCTCACAAATATATATATATAAAATATATATATAAAACACACACACACGCACACGCACACACACGCACACACACACAGTGGTCTCTGTGTTGGGGGGACATACGCCTGATAACTGAATTGGTCCTGAGATTTGGTCCACAAAAATTATCTTCTTGGCACAGAAATGGATACTCAAAGTCTCACTCTCTATCAATTATCATTTGCAATTTGTAAGAGCTGCTCCTGACTGATGTTTGGAACAAGAAGGATGATGGTCTTGGGCAATCGTTTCCACAGACTGCTGGCTGCATTTCAGATGCTGATTTGGAATTGGAAAATGTAGAATATTTCAGTGAGAGTGTGGAGCACAGGCTAGCTCAAGATTCTAGGATGCAGGAGGAGGAGGAAGAGCTGGTGATTATCTCAAGGCCAGAAGCTTCGCTGAGCCAGGCAATTCCTGGGAATGGCCAAGATGTACAGCTAGCAGGAGGGTCTCTGAGGATGAGGAATTCAGATGCAGACCAAGCCCCTGCTATGGACCTCATGGTGTGGCATAAGCAGACGGGAGGCTCAACTGAATGTGCAACTCACAGAGAGGAGGCATGCTTGCCTTCAGAGAGCCCCCCTTGAGGGGAAAGGCCCCAGGCATGTTCACAAGCAGAGTCCCTGGAGATAAACACTAGATTGGGGTCAACAAACCACTTTGTGCATGCTCAGAGATCCATCCCAGGTGATTTGTACTTGGGAACAATAAAGAAATTTGCAAGGAAAATGGTCTGTAGCTGGTTCAAAGGAGAAACCTCAGCTCAAGACAACTTAATGTGAAATAAGGAAGTCTTATATTGTTGTATCATAAAAGCAGTCACTTTATCCTCCTTTCACTTTCTGCAGAGCTTTTCTGCGGACTCACATTCATGACAGCCGAATGTCACAGTTAACATGTCCCTCAGTCTGTTCCACATGACTTAATTTTAAAACTAATCCTGAGGCAGGATTATCTTTGTCGTATGGGAATTTAAGGATTTTCTTTCCACTACCTTTTGCTCTTCTCCATCTTTGTTTGGAATCCATGCTGCCATTCCACTGATGGAAGTCATTCCTTCAGTGAAACTGGGGCTGGTTGTAAATCCTTCCCTGTAGCTTCCTGTGCACCCTCAAAAACTGGGAAAACTTTCAGAGCAGAATTTTGGGCAGGACTGAAGGAAGAAATAGTTAGAAGATCACATCATTCTAGGAGACTTCCACTAGCACAATGTTGGCTCTATTGCCTTACACCCCACCATCAGTCACAACTCCTGCCTCCTAATTTTATAGCATTCCTTCGAAAACTGTTTACCTTTCTTAAACGTGCTGCCCCAGTGCCTGAGCGGATTGCTTCCATTAGGGCCTGCCTTGCATCTCCTGGGTTGTCTGTTACTCTACTTGCAGAGGACCTTGGAGACTTCACTGTTAACTGAACAGGAGTTGGTGGTAGAGGAGGGGGTGGAATATTACATTGCTGCTCTGTCGTGGAGATTGTCTTGTTGTGCAAGGCTACTTCTGCATTTCGGAAACTCTGCAGTTCTTCAGAAGCAGACGAGGAGATCTCCCAGTGGGAAAATTAGGAAGGGGAGAGGTTAACAGTAATAGGCATTATGGAACAAGAGTTATTAAATACTGGATGCAGGTTCCAATCTCTCTCTGTCCTTTCCCCTGAATAACTGCCTTATTCCTCTGAAGTAAAACATCTTAACATTTTGTTTGTCTATTAATTCTGAACATCTGTTTCTGCTCTCTTAAATCACTCCAAAGAGTTGCTGACTAGGATCAAGGATGTGGCCTTGAAGCGCCCTCAAAAATTCAGTCTTTATTTACTGGAAGTCAGGCATCCTGGAATTGTTTTTGGCTCATAAGGTAAAAATGCCATCAGTTCACACGCAGTTATGTTGGAAAGAACCACAACTGTTTTGTAATTAACATGAAGCATTAGGTTACCTCACCTGGCTTGGAACAAGCTCCATCACAAACTAATAAGAGTGATGGGTATTCTAAATCTAGCTTGATTTGATTTAAAACCTCAAGAAAAATGCATCATTTTAATCCCATTTGAAAAGAAATAACAAAAAGAAGAAAATAGAGGCACTCTTCCAAGACAATTAGCCCTTTATTAGCAAACATACTTCTGCACAACACTTTCAAAGCATAGTGGAAACAATTAATATACTACTATCCACCAATCTCATAGAAAAGGAAACCAGTGTCAGCGAACCATCATATAAGCCTCAAGAGAGATCAAGAGAAGCACATATTATAAGGCTGACAACAGTCCTCACCTGAGCTTTCGCTAATGCTTACAATAAAATTGTAAGGGAACATTTAGGATGCAAGTATAAGCAAGGCACTTCCATCAGTACATCACAGCAACAAGCATTCCATAGTCTGACTGACAACAAAGAGGGAGGTAGGAAGAGTACTGTTCCTCTGGACTTAGTTACATCTCTGTCAGCCTATAATTGCCAGGAGCCATAAATTCAGGAAACCTACTCTGTACCATTGAGCCTAGTAGGCTGTGTAGGAACTGTGAACTAGAGTTAATGTGACTCTAGCATTCCAGTTGTAAATGCCAATCTTCTAGCTGTTCTAGTTCCTTCCTGCTCATCTCAGCAGAACTGTCAGAAACTAGAAGGCAAACTTACCAGGTGGCAGTATTCGTCCATCTAGCTTATTGCTGCCTACATTGATCCAACTCTCTGGGGTCTAAGGTAGAGGTCCTTCATGTAGTCTGCCACAGTTCATGTCCCAAAGTGGTTTTAAATGAAAACATCAGACAAAAATACTGTATTTGTTTACAAAGCCCTGAACAATTCAAGGTCGCTACACTTACGCAGCTTCTGACCTCTACCTACCTGTTCTGTTGCTGTGTTCATTGGGGATATGCTCCTGGTGGTGTCGGATTTTCATAAATCTGATCCATGATGGCTGATAATAGGATCCTTAATACTGCTGTGCCCACTCAGTGGGACTCCCTACCACTACATACTAGAAAGGCTTCCTTTCCAGGCTTCTGGGTTTCCAGAACCCACTAAAAACATTTTCTTTTTTAAAGAAACACCACTAGGAAGGTAATCTGGTCTAATATAGTAATCATATACAGTATTTAATAATGACTTGTATTGTTTTGTACACGGCTTTGAAAAGTATTTTGATGTATGTGACTCATTAATATTGTTAAATACATAAATAACAAATAAAATAGAAGTATATCAATTCAGAAAGTGTTAATCATCTATTTTACACAACTCCAATAAAGTCAGTTGAGTGTAGAATTTGATTCATTTTGCTAATGATGTATGTGACATGAAACTCCTTCCCTGTGTAGGCTTAATTTTTTTCAAGCTTTCTAATTAGAACTTAGCTTAACTAACATAATTTCAAGGCCACAGAGACAATGTAATGCAGCAGATCAGCAAGCTACTGAAAAGATCCCAATATTGTATCCTTACTTTTTTCAGCTTTGAGGTTCCACAATGCCCTCTAATGGCAGCCAGAAGGGCAGAGCGTGCATTCTCTGGTTCTGTACAAAATGGCTTCTTCTGAGTTCCGTTTATTGTGCTGGGCGAAATCTAGCATGTGACAAAATAAGATACAACTTTTTATTTAAAGTTTGCAAACCTGGGTAATTTCAATATCAGAAGGGTCACTCTATTTAAAGGTGGCTTAGCTGAACTAAGCCTTTCTCTGACCTGAATATTGAAATTTAATATAACTTATGTTATAACACTTGTCCCTCTGCCATGTTCATATTATTAATCAGAGATGAAGAAATCAGACTTGCCATATATATTCTGGAATCAAAGGCACTTCCAGTTATTTTGTTATTATGTTTCATTAAATCACTTCCATGCATTGCATGATTATACATTATTATCTCTACAAGGACAGATTTTTTATGTTAATTATTATTAGCTCTTGCTCACTGCTGTACATAACTGCACACCTTTGCTACTTTAAAGAAGTGGAGAAGGGGATGCAGGTCTGACTCCCCAGACAAATGCTGGCTCCCTTGGCTATGAAATGGAGATAAGCACCACCCCCTAGAGTCAGACACGACTGGACTTAATGTCATGGGGAAACCTTTACCTTGCTCACTGCTGTACATAACTGCACACCTTTGCTACTTAAAGAAGTGAAGCTGTTACTACTGTTACCTAATAACACCCAGTATGTGGAAAACTGACAGTACCTTAAGCCAGCTTCTTAATATTACAAATGTGATGTGTGCAGTAGCTCACTGGAAGCAATGGCTGTTATACAAGGGCCTGCGATTTTAAACAGTCAAAGAACTGTTACTGATGTTACAGGAAGTTCATGTATCCAACTGCTAAAGCTTCTGGTAGCTTTCAATGCCAAGTTACTTTACCTTTCGAAGTGTCTCTCTTCCTCCTGAAGTCTGAATGGCTTCCATTAATGCACTGTGTAATGATGTATCTTTTGGAAGTGACTTCTGGATGACTGGTTTAAACTTTTTTTTTGGCCCAAAAACATTGTAGATGTTGTCATCTTTAATATCAGACTCTAGTTTATTTCTTGTAAGTGCACTGCCAAGTTTTTCATCTTTTTCTGGAACCACATGCTTGATAGTAAGAGTACCATTTAATTCTGATTCACTATTACCAGGGTGCCCCCTCATTGACTTCACAAGGGAGCTGAAAGTAGGGGAAGAAGAGTGAGCATGAGATGTTTTATGAAAGAAGGAAGGGCTTGTTGGATCATTCTGCTCCTTCATTTGATTCAATACATAAGATGTTTCTCTAAGAATTACATTCTGTATTGAACTACAACAGGGTTCCCCTCTTATGATGCCACTATCTTTAAAAGGTGTTCTGGTAAATGGTTCACTATAGCAATTAGTAGGATTGGATTGATTCTCTGATTTGATGTTGGCAGTGTTATTCATCAGCCCAGAACGAGCACCAAGTGGTAGTGTATTTGATACATTTTTACTGCAATTGAAGGTATCTGAACAAGGTTTTCTTGTTTCTGTGGGCTGTGTTTCTGCTGTGCAGTATTTGGCCATAACAACACATCTTTTGGGAAGTGGTTCTGTTTCAGTTTTTAGCCCTTTTCCATTACTCATTTCTTCTCCTTTGTAATGCCTTTCTTGGTTGGTTTTAAACTGGGATGTATCCATGCGTTTTGCAATGGCAGAGGCTACATAATGGCTTGATGTTCTTCTCTGGGGCTTCTGAAATGGGAGCTCCACTTTATCTGTGTTGACCACTGGAACTGTTAGTATTTTCACTGAAGACTGGGGGACATGAACAAGTGGCTTTGCTTTTTCAACATTATTTTCAACAACATTGGAATCAACTAGTGGTACTTTTAGATTTGTAAGGCAGTCAAGCCTTATTTTACTGGATATTTTACTGAGGGGTTTGGAGTTGACTACTGGCTTAGCGGAACAGCTTACTGGGAACTCCCCCAATTGTTTGTCCATAGAATTTGACGTCCAGTATGCTTTTGCTTTCTTGGTAAGAGTTTGTTCTGTTTCACTTGAAGCTGTATTTACTGTGACATTTTTAGTATCAGAAACATTTGGAACCACCAGATTGCCTAACTCATCTATTTTAATGGCACCAGTAGAGAGAGATGTACCTCTGTCGAAATATTTTACTTCAGGTTTGGGAGGAACAATTTTAAAGGTTGTCAGGCCAAGTTTAGGTTCATAGTTTGTAATTCCATTGTGAACACGATGAGACCATATTGATGGTGACGGAGCATGTTCCTTCTCATCATGGGCTTTTGCTGATAGATGCTTCAATCCTAATTCAGTTTTAGTTTTGCTTAGAGAATCCTCCTTGGTATCAACTTCATTTGGTGGCCTTACTTTCTCTTTTGTTCTATTAACATCACTCATAATGTTGACATTAGCAGCCATCACCTCAGCATTGGATACTTCAGAATCAAACCAATCTTTGGAGATGATTTCCTGGCCTTCATTCCCTTCATTCCCTTTTTCATATGATGATATAGGCATCTCAAACTCACATTTTGGTTCTTCCTCATTCTGGTGCCTAAACTCTTCTTTAGGTGATTGCTCTTGCAATAAGCTCTTACTGGGAGAATCATCATCTACATAAAAGGTATTATGGTTTTCATTTCTTGGTTTCCCTAGGCTAGTGTGATGATCTAAATTATCTTCAGCACCATCTATCTTGGGAGAAAAGGGACTTTCTTTCTCAGTGTCAGACTGTACTGTGATATCACCTTCTGGAACTTCATCTATGATTGTCACTGGCACAGAAGGTGAAATATCCTGGACAGCCTCGGCATTTTTTACAGGAGGGCAGGGTGCACCATTAATCATCTCACTAAATAGAGATTTGCTTTCATAATCCTCATGTAGACCTTCCATCGCTGTAAAAAATATAAATCCATTTCAAAAACAATGTACTATTACACTACAATGTATCCCACAATATTATCACAATCAAGAGTGTCAACATTTGAACAGAAGCCCCCTTTACAGAAAATGACCCTTTCAACTCTGTTTAAAGGCACTTGCCCTGCAGCATAGGAGACTACTGCTTGAAAGGGAGGGGGAGTCAACAACTCCAATGCTGGGAGTTGGATATAGCATTATTTGAATGCACCCATAATCTCTTAAGATACTGGCTAAATTTATATGAAGTTGTACTTAACTTTCTCCAAGACACCTTTGGTTTACTGTGCATTGCTCCCAGAGAAACTCAGCAACCATGAAAGTGGTATATGAGAATGTGTTATCTATATGTTTGCTTCCCTAGCAGTTTTTATGTCTGGCTAAGACTCCAAATACTTTCAGAATATAATCCTCAAGAAAGCAAACTGTGTATATCAACCATTTTCACAATCTGTTTTTTCATGTATCAAGATCAAGAAAATTTATGGTAACAATGACTGGAAGACATAACAGGCAAGCAAGTCCTGAGATACTATTGTGAGAGTTGATGAAAGAATCATACATTAGCCTACCACACAGACAGAGAAAAGCAAGCAGGAATAGCATTCTGTGACCAACATAATTTTGGATAGCAGTTTGGTACTGCGATTAAAAAAATCTATAGGTCTATAATTCTTCACTACACAGTTCCACTGAAAACATACTGAGAGACAACTTAAGAGCCAGTGAGAACCAGTGTGGTGTAGTGGTTAAGAGTGTAGAACTGGAACTGAGGCAACTTGGATCCTAATCCCCACTTGGCCTTATTGGCAACTGGGTGACTTTGGGCCAGTCATGGACTCTCAACCCAACTTAACTCACAGGACCGTTGTTGTGGGGATAAGACTCAGAGTTAGATGAGGAGAATTATGTAAGCCACTTAGGGTTCATTGTAAGGAAAAAAAGCAGGATATAAATCTAATAAATAAACAAACTTAGCTATCCATTGTTATTGAATCGTTTTTGCAGGAGTGTATCAGTGTTCTTCCAATGTAATCACCAGAGCAAGAAACACTGAGAAATTCATTAGTTTCTTCCAATTTCTTACTATGCTCCATTAACATTTACAATGTGAACATAGTAGCTGATCAGTGTCTCCAACAGGTTAGCCATGGGTGCCAATGGAAGCTGCATGGTCTCATAAGTATAATGGTAGTTGTATTAGGATTGGGTTTGGATTATGGCATTTTACTGCCTCCTTTAATTTTGACTAAAGTGTGCCTGCCCAAATGTGCATTGCCACCACTTGTCCCTTTCTTTCATCCTATTTTATCCTGAATGTTCACATCCAGTCTACCTGCTAGATCTTCATCCAGTGCATCTAGGGTCTGTTGCAGCTGAGCAGCAATGAACACATCTGAATTTTCAAACTTAGCTTCCACCATATTCTCATCAATTTTATTCCTTTAAAGAAAAAAGAAGAAAAGGTTGGTTCCATTTTTTACTGGTTCTGCCCAGCCAAATACAAGCCTTACCAATTCCAGTCCAAGCAGACAGATGTTGCACTATTTTCTCCTCCCTTTCCAAGTAAAGGCCAGTGCAGATGGCATATTGGGCTCAAATGCATTGGACATGCAAACAGTCAATTACTGGGTTTGTTGCTGAGCCAAGCATGCTTTCATTACCACTTGCATGAAGTAGCACCCTTCTTTCCGTCTGCTGTAAACACTAACACTGCAATGTTCTTTGTGGCAGTAACTCCAAAAAGAGCCATTACCATTTGCCATGCCTTGTGGGCACAGGCTACCCTGGCTTTTTCCAGATGTTGAAAATGCCATGGGTCTCCAGTCATGCTCAAGACAGGATGATAGAGGCAGAAATCGTCAGCTATTGGGCAAGGTAGAAATCAAACAAACAAAAAAACCACAATGATCAGGAAATTGAATAGCAGGCTAAGGGACTCCAAAGCCCCACAAAGATGGAGTTATGGTTGCCCTGTGTTGAAAAAGGCAGGCCACAGAGATCTGTAGCCACATGAATGTGGTTACAGATGCAAATGAAGGTTGCCTTTCCATACCCCTTATGTCAAGCAACAGGGCTCCCTGTGTACAGTATGTGTTGGTAACCCTGCTGGAATGGAAGCATTCAGAATCCAGCAATGACACTTCACAAATAGAAAATCTCTATCTGGGTATACAAAGCAACAGGTCTATCAGGGCACACAAGACAGAAAGGTGGTGCAAGCATGAAGAAAGGAACTTGGCCCTGGAAATAGGGTTAGACTCTAGACAAAGAAATGGAGAGTGCTAAAAATGGATCATGGGGAACAGAAGCCAAGCAAACCCAAAGCAGTTCTTGAAGTTGTGTGACAGTGTTTGCTCATGCTGGGATCCATGATAAGAAAGCATGCTGGCTGGCTGAACCCAAGAACAGTTACTGACTTCTGTCTGAACACACAAAGGGGCAATGATTTGAGGGAAATTCAGGCTGGAGTTGAACACAAGGTATAATATTGTGCATCTTGGGAAAAATAGGAGCCCTCCTTTGGAATTTGGTATAGCTAAGTTAAAGCTGATTGACTAACCTTTACAAAAGTCCTGCTTCTGAGAGACAATTTTGAGGACACTGTTTGTTTCCTAGAACAAGCAGTACTGAGGGAGACAAAGCTCCAGTTATGGAAATCCAACATAACATTGCTTGACACTAAGATATTTTGGGAAATCTGTAAAGCAAAATAAGTGTTTTCTTTTGCATGCCTTCATCCGTTTGATGCTGCAAAAGAACACTTATTGAAGTTGCTTGACTTCAGAGATTTCTCAGAAGACATAAGAAAGAAAATTGTCCTTTCCAAATAATTACCAGATCAGCTTGCCTGGTTTTTGTTTGTTTTAGAATGGACATGAAAACTTTTTATTTTGGTCTGACAAGCTTCTGAATTGCAGATGGTTAGGGGTTTCAAGCTTTAAAAACTTCTTGCTGTTTTATCTTAATTTCTATACTAACATTTCAACGTGCAACTTCCGTATTCAATTTAAGCTGCTTTGTGACTTTGAACATGGAGCAGGCTGTAGATCAAACAGGAATGTAGAATAAATCTTCACAATTTATGGAGGGAGACTTCCTATACTGAAGCTGGTATCTATGCTCAGAAGAAAGAAGATGGAGACCCAATGAACAACAGAGCCTTCTTCAGGTTCATTCTACTACCACAAACCCAGCAATGTTAGAGCAAAGCTCATTGCAATTAACTCAGAGAACATCCTATGGATAGTTATGGTAGTTTGGAGCATCAGTGGGCAGGGAGCATGTCATCAAACAGAATATAGCTCTCATGCCTATAAGATACCCAACAGTGACAGTCAGTCAGAATTAGCATACTTTCCATTTCCCTATCCTCAAAGGAGTTTTAAAACATATCCTAGTTATGACAGTGATTTGCCGGATATTCAGCTCTGTAGCAAGATCTTTAGATGGTCTTGGAGAAGACTGTGCATGCACAGGTACTCTATGTGGCACTGCACAGACACCATAAAGATGCTCATCAATTTCCTCAACTCCCCACCTAAATCCATGCTCTTTTGCATAATTTGTGTATTCCTCTTCTGCCCCACTGATTTTGGGTCTCCCCCATGCATAAAAATAAATAATTAGGAAATATTACTCTTCCCAAAGACAAGTATTTTGCAACTCCACCATGCTAATTATATTTTATGTCTAAAAATAGTCATTTCTCTTCTGTTCCCATACTTTACTTTGTACCCACTTTTCATATTCATTTCTGCATTCCCATTACCCTTGGCTCTTTTACAATATGTAGCACTAGCAGCTGAACACATCTAGAGATAAACAGATTGAGTGGAATACAGCACCAGTAGCTCTTATGTTACCAAAACACTTTTAAAGTGGAGGTGGGGAAACTTTAGTGTCCATTTGTCAGCAGCAAAGTGGGCAAAGCTGCTGCTGGCACATACAGTACATACTCACAAACAAAAACATTCATATGCACACACATGTACACAGAAGGGAAAGAAAGCAAGAGAGCTTCCACATGAGTTGTAATCTTGAAAAGGATGTAGCACATTTGGGAGCCAAATTCACTCCACACTGACCTTTCCTGACAGGAAAGGGTAAAGGAGGAGCAAAGCAAAGTGAGCCAGTGGCTCAAAGATTGCTCCTCCAACCAACAGGTTGGTCAGGAAATGGAACTGCTCCACTCTTGCCTTTCCCAACCAGGAAAGGCAAGGATGGAGCAAAGCAGACTGAAACTGTGCTTGAGGATCATTTCTTCAGCCCGCAGCTCAGCCAAGAGCTAAATCTGTCCTGCTCTTGCCTTTCCTGACACTCCTCAAGTTGCTGGTTTGGTCAGAAGCCAGCTTTGCTCTGCCTTCACCTTTACCAATAAGAACATGTAAAGAAGGAGTGAAGCAAACCAAGTAAGCAGTTCAAGGTGCAATCCTCCTGCCCACAGCTTAGTTGAGAACTAAGTTTTGTTCTGTTCTTGCCTTTCCCAGCTAGGGTCCTTCAGCCTCCTTAAGCACATCTCTAGTTTGGGAACTATCCCTCTGATCCATCTGTCTTCTGAAAGGACTGGACTTTGAGAAACAGACTCCCAGGACTTGGTTGGCTTACTTTGTCCCATAGGCTGGAGGTACTTGATCTATGCCTTAAAGCTATTTTTTTTTTACACAAACATACCCAGCAGTACACCGCACAATTTAAACCACACACACTACTTCCTTTCTACAACCTTTCCTTTCTCCTCTGGAAAGAGAACCTTACCTCTCTGGACCTTCTTTATTGTCATTGTCAGGCATGCTTTGGCTTGAATTCAAGCAAAACACAAGGTATTTTTCTGATAAATGTCTTAGAGACCAGATACCTATTTCCAATGGTCCTTTCTCACACACTCTTTTTGACACAAGAAAGAACACGATAAACTTTAGACCTTTTGTCTCTAAAATAGAAGGTGTTGAAATTGTACCCCTTTGGAATTTCTTGAAGGAAGAGATGGTTTAACAGAGATTCATACAATTGTGCATTACATGGAAAATCGCGAAGACTCAGAAGCACTAAATTAATAACTTTTGCATTTTGCCAAACTGAGGTCAAAGCAAATGGTCACGTCACTGCAGTCATTTCATCAGCTGGAAACAAAGTGAAGGTTAAAGTAGCACTTTGAGCACCATCATGCCAGACATTGTGTCCAAAGGTATTGGGTATTTAGAAAATACTGAATTTTAAATACTTGAAGTAAGTCCATTAAGAGGACATGAAGGAAATTTGTTATGAGTGGTGATGCAAGTGGTAATGAAGTGGTGTCCAGAAGTGCACTTTTAAAAGTAGTGTACCAGCTGTGCCTGTTCCTGGAGCTGTCTGATTTGGCCATGGTGATGGATGCCTTTGTTGCATCCCATTTGGATTATTGTAAAGCACTCTTTGTTAGGGGTGCCTTTGAAGAGTGCTCAGAAATTCTAACTTTTTCCGGCTGCTAACAAGGGATGGCCACATGGTGCATACAACTCCTTCACTGACTCCCTGTCTGTTTCCAGGAACAATTCAAAGTGCTGTCTGGGACATAAAGTCCCATACAGCTAGGGTCCAAGATATCTGAAAGAAAGACTGTATTTCCCCTTATAAGCCTACCTGGGCTGGATGATCTTCTGAGGAGGCCCTTCTCTTGGTCCCACCACCCTCCCAGGCACAGTTGGTGGGAATGCAGGAGAGGGCCCTCTCAGTCTTCCCAAGGCTCTGGAATTCCCTCCATGGGGAGGCTAGGTTGGAGCCCTGCCCTGTTATCTTTCCGAAAGGAGGCAAACCCCTTTTTGTTCCAACAGGCATTTGCAAATGGTCTCAGCTTGTGAGAGTGCATTGGAGTAGTTCTTTTTTTTTACATTACTTTACTGTTTTTAATGTGGGTATTTTTATATTTTTAAAGTTCACCACTTTATATTTTTAATTTTTGTATATTTCTATGAAGGTTTAATCGTGTAAGGGCTGCCTTGAGTCCCCACACTAGGAATAAGAGGGCTAATAAATGAAAACAACAATAATAATGAAGAGCATGGTTTGTTAGCTAACACATAGTTCACCTCAGCTAATAACTCAAAAGGCTGGCCTAAGGCCTTCACAATTTCAGGCCTATCTTCACAATGTGCAATATGACCTTCCTTACAGGGCTGCTATATGGATCAATATGCCAGCAAATTTGGAAAACTCAACAGTGGCCACAGGATTGGAAAAGGTCAGTTTACATTCCGATCCCAAAGAAGGGCGATGTCAAAGAATGTTCAGACTACTGCACCATTGCACTCATTTCACATGCTAGCAAAGTTATGCTCAAAATCCTACAAGCTAGGCTTCAGCAGTATGTGGACCAAGAACTACCAGAAGTACAGGCAGGATTTCAAAGAGGGAGAGGGACTAGAGATCAAATTGCCAACATACACTGGATCATGGAGAAAGTT